CACAGGGAAAGGTATATAAATCAACAGTACTGGCTGGCTCTGAATGGTGGTGCAAAGGAAGTCCCTAGAGTGCAGTAGAGCAGAAGCTGGCAAACTCCAGCCAGCACTGTTTTCGTAAATAAAGTTTTATTGGAATAGAGCCACACCCATTTGTTTCCATATGGTCTATGGTTGCTTTCCTTGTATCGGCAGAGTTGAGCAGTTGCAACAGAGACTGTATGAAAACCCTAAATGTTTAGTGTCTGTCTCTTTACAGAAAAAGTTTGCTGACTCCTGCTGCAGAGAATGGGTTTCACATACCACAATCAGGGAGTGTTCAGAGACTAGGTGGACAAAGTATTCCTTAGGTTTCCATGAATCTGGAAGAAAGCCTTCAGTCCTGGTTCAGTGATGGTTTGCTGGGTCATCTCTACACAATGAGTTAGGGAAGTGCTGGTTAAACGTTTGAGCTCAGCACTTAAATAGGTCTGGGTTCAAATATGTCACATTATCAACTGTGTGACCGCTAGCAAATTACTTGATCTCTTTGTCCCTCAATTCTCTCATGTGTTGGACAAGGATAATATTATTACCTATATCATAGAACAAATATGAAGATTAAATGAGATAATTTAGCATTTGGCAGAGTGCCTGGCTCAGAGTGACTACTCAGTAAATGTTTCCTAAAAGCAGCTGGTTCTCCACCGTCAGCATACCAGGGAACATTTAGGGGGTAGATGGCAATCATGGACAGCACGCACCTAACGGTGAAAGGTTTAGAGAGCTTCTGTCGGGGGCAGGCCCATGGTGATCTGCTGTGGGAATAGGCACCAACTGAGGGTTCCCTGACCAGGAAGAGGATTTCAAGGTCCAAGAAAGCCACTGCCAAGGATTCTCCAAGGGCTCAACTTGATGGAAAGGAGGCTGATAGAGGTCAACTCCCTTTGCTTGGCCTTAGGGTTAGACTTCAGGACCTACTGCTGTCACAGATGTTTAGTAAATGTTTATTTAATGCTTGTTCTAAAGAAAGGCTGAGCTATAGAAACAAATGGAATTTATCTGCTTTGGGTGTAGGATGACTCAAAGGGGAAAATGAAGGTCCGCATGCACTTAAAACTTTAATCACTCAATACTTTATTTATTTATGCATTTGATGAAAAATGTTTTTGAATATGCTGTGTTATGCCAGACACTGTGGAGGTCACATGGTATCCTTGCCTCAAGGAGCCCACAGTCTAATAGGGAGACAGGCAAGGAAACAACTTCAATGTTGGGTGATAGAACAGAATAGTATAACATAGAAATGCTTTCTTTTCTGAAAAAGATAGTACATGTGATTTATTATTCCTTTTTTGAAGGGTTTTTTCATCTTATGTTTTGGAATCCTCTTGGATAGTAAGGTATGTGTATTCATTTCTCTCTTTATCCCCTAACCTAGGCATCTAACACTTCCCCATCAGTTCTGGGGCCCTTATTCATATATGAGGTTATAATATGGGAACTCTTGTAATAAAATTCTATAATTTAACAAAAGGCAGACTCAGCCAGGAGACAAGGAGACTAAACACTCACTGCTTATAATAAACTACATAGAACTAATCACAACAGATAATATGAACATTATAGAAAAATAGGGAAGTTGTTTTTATTTTCAATTTTTCTACTTTATATTATGACTTGGCAATAATTCAAGAGCAAAAGTAGTTTTATTTGGAGTGAATTCCCTTTTCCTCCTTTAACTTATCCATTTATTTAGAATAT